AGGTCCCATCTATCTATCTATCTATCTATCTATCTATCTATCTATCTATCTATCTATCTATCTATCTAAAAAAGAAAGTCCCCTCACCATAAAATCAATGCCCAGGCCAAACCGCTGAACCTAGAAACACCACATTTGGGAAGAGCGCTCCTACTGTGACATGGGATTTTTAGAAATTCGACCCCTAAGGGGGTCAAAAGGGGTAAAATGTGCTCCCCCATTGATTCCTATGCGGCTGCCAGGCTGTTGCCTCCGTGCACCCCCCACCCTCTGGTTGGTCAGCTGCAGAGCTCAGTGTTCTGAGGTAAAAACACAGTTAGAAAAGACTGCAGACAGTTGAGGACAGTTACAGAAATGAGCCATTCAAGACTCCTGAACAGACATTTTTCAAAAAAGCCAGCATGGCAATTGAGTTAATGAATGTTCATGGGGAGATAGTAAAGGACCTTTCTAGGAGCCATTTTGATGTGTGCCTCCCTCATGAACCTGAAGAAATGTCCACCACATCACCACTCCCTCACACCGACTCCCCCTCATTCGTCTCACCTCTCACCGCCCCCAAGAATGCTCCTGGCAAATGCCAGATACACCAACGCTACAACTCCCTCACACCGGCTCCCTTTCACTCGTCTCACCTCTCACCGCCCCCAAGAAAGCTCCTGGCAAACGTCGAGCCAGATACACCAACGCTACAAGGAGGAGGCAACTTAGGAATGCGGCAAAGGCATTTGCACATTGGCATTTGCAACTTAGGAATGCGGGGCACTGAGCTGCGCAGGCCAGGTACTAGCGAGATCACCCTGAGGTGCTCAGAACAACACAATCTCCATAGGAGCAAAATAATCCAGGAACACAAGTAGAGAGGCCATCACTTTTGTGGAAGGTAGCAGGAGTTGACGTAACAGACGACTGCTTCTTAAATGGACAATTCTATGTGGCCTGCTCCAGAGTGAGCTCATCAAGCAGCCTGGTGATCCTAGCACCCGAGGGCAGAACCACCAATTTGGTCTAGAGAGAGGTCCTTCAGTAGAGAAAGAAAAAAGTACGTATGTCTCACTTCATTTCTTACACTACAATCTTCTCCGTTAGAATTCCTACAACAAATGTTACATTTCAAACTTCACATCATTCCCTCTCACTTTATAGATAGGAGATAGGAGAACAAATTTGGTCATGTAGATATTTAGAAGTCATTTTCAATGAGAAATTAGGTTAGACATTGCATATCTAATCAATTCTAGTTGAGGCCACAAGGCCAGATTGGTCCAGGGATCCTGGAGTTTTTTTGCCTTCCTCTGGTGATACAGCAGCCGTCGTGGGGGGGGGGCGCTGTGAATTTGCTGCATTGTGCAGAGGGCTGGACTAGATGACCCGTGGAATCTCTTCCAGCTCTATGTTTCTTTGTTTCTTCCAGGCAGGAAAGCTCAAACTGTTCTTAAAGGCTCAGCAGCAGGGGCTGCCTGGTAGAAAGTACTGGCAATCATTATTGCCCACCACTGTTAAAAAGCTGCAGATTATTTATTTAATTTATAGTCCATCTTTTCCCCCAGTGGGGTCCCAATGCAACTTACATCATTCTGCTCTCTTCCATTTTATCCTCACAACTACCCTGTGAGGGAGGTTAGGCTAAGATGATGTGACTGTCATCCAGCAAGCTTCCATGGCAGAGAATGGATTCGAACCTGGGTCTCACAGAACTACAGGTAAAGAAGAGGGATGCACCAGTCGCAAACCATATCGACTGAAAGAGGAACGTGATCCCAGCTCCTGAGGAAGAGCGACCATTCCAATGAACAGCCCGCCGATATTTGATTGTGCAGACGCAAAAAAAGGGAGATGGGTTCCTTCAGTGCACTATCACTAGAGGAATGATGGGGCTGTGATGTCTGACTACAACATCGATGATGCGCAGCTCTTTCATTAAAAAATCCATAGTATTGCTCTGTGTGCAAAAACCTCAGCCACTGGTCAATGCCAGTTACTCTGAAGGGAAAGCAGAAATGCAGAACGAATCATTGAAGTCGAATCAGAAAGTTGTAGATGGAAACCTCAGCAAATCTAAAGTAAGCAGGGTGTGCGTAATGGGCCCAATACAAAAGAAAGCAAGGCCAAATGCTTATGGTGCTGTGGGAAAGTGAAGATTTATTATATGGAGATGAATAAAGCCCCTGTACAGAACTTTCTTTTTTCTGTGACTTCAGTAGCTGTGGGAAAATCACTGGAGATAAACATATTTGGAGATTCCCCCTAATAAAGTGAAGTGCAAAACAGTGTAGGGGTTTTCCTTTAGTATCCACATGATAAATTTTCACTCACAGCTTCTCTCACACTGGTTCTGACACCTTGCCGTGGGACCACTGATTCACTGTCACATTTGAGTGCCATCAGGGAAACTTCAAGTCTTTATCATGTTCTTCCCTTTCCTGGCCTTCTGCCTGAACCTCATCTCTCCACTCCCCCTCTGTCTAAGCAACAGAGGCCTCTCTGAGGTGGTGAGCCGTGGTGCCTGCCCTCAAACACAGCCAAGCCTGGTACTTACGAGAGAAGATGTGGAAAGAGTCCGTGGTCTGATGGGGTCAGGGGTGGAGCTTCCCTGCCTCAGGCTGAGGTTTCACAATACAGTCGTCATCTTATGAGTTATCATTAGGAATGGCATTTTGATCCTCCTTCACTACGTAGTATTTCTGGGAGGGTCCCACAGAGGAGGGTCCATGTCTTAGCACGAAGAAGGTCCCAGGTCCATTTCCGGGGCTGAGAAATGACCTCCTCTGTCCAAGGCTCTGGAGAGCAGCTCACAAGCAGAGAAGACCAGATTGAGTGAAACAGATCAGCAGTCAAGCTCTGCGGAAGGCAGCTGAAAAGTACGCAAACGGAGAGTGATTTCAGCAAAGCGTACTTTATTCTATCCGGAACAAGACAACTTTGGCCGGCTTGCAGGCCGGCTTATATCCCCTGAGAGACCGCCACCTAAAACACACCCCTACTTCCCTATAGGTTATTTACAGTGGCCGAGAGTTCCATAGGCTCTCGGCCGGGAACCTAGCCCCCTGATTGGAGTGGGCTAGGATCCGCATAGTTCATTGTCTCTTGGAGCGAAGCTCGACGTTTGTTTCTGGACTTGTCTGGGCTGGATACATTACAGCAGCTTCAGGTGTTCATTTGATCTGAGTTCAGGAACTGAGTAGGCCCAACTTTTGCCCGTGGCTGGGTCATATACTCGTGGACTGTCCCCTGGGACCCAAGGGTCTAGCACTCCCTTTCTTTCATTTCCCTAGAAACCCCCTTTGTCCCTTGTGATTTCTCGCTCTCATTAGGAATCAGCAGCTTTGTACAATAAAGCAAACCTTTGAACATCTGTAGAACCACACTGCTCAAGGCTAGTGTTTTCTGAAGTTCTGCCAGCTAAGGCATAGAGTTTTTCTCCAAAATCAAAATGGGAGATTTACTGTGCTCTTAACTGCCAAATGGGGTTCTTTTAGAGTAAAAGGATAACCCCCTTCAGAGGAGCTCATCCCTCACAGTGGGAGATGCAACACAGGCAGTCTCCTTCGAGAATAGCTTATTCTACTGTCCTGCAGGCAGAATATTCCCACTGCCTCTGATGCAATGCTGGGATGGATTTATCTGGCCCCAAAGGAAGAGACAAGAGTAGGGATGGATGGAAGGAAGTTTCCCCTGAGAGGTACAATCTACATGTCAACGGACAATAGTAG